TGACATGGGTTGGCCTTTGATTGGCACTATGTGGACTTTCCTCAGAGCTTTCAAGTCATCTAATCCTGATTCCTTCACCAGTGACCTTGTAAAAAGGTACCCATTTCACCCTCTTACCCATATCTACATATACAGATTCTATACACACGCACGCACGCACGCACACACACACACACACACATGTATATTATATATATATGGGTTTTGTTTCATTCTTTTCCTTTCTGGGTTTTAGTGGGAAGAGCCTGTTTTTACCTTAAAGGTGAGATTTTGAAGGTATTTTTCTGCTAAAAAGTTCGATCTTTTTGGTTGATTAAGAGATCTGAAATTGTCAATTGTGAGTGTCTCAAAATCTCTGTTTTTTCATTTGTTCTTCTGTGATTCTTTGAGTTTTGATTTGAATTGTGGGGTTTTTTTTTTTTTATTTATTTATTTTTTATATTCTCTTTTGAATCTATCTGTGTATGTTTTTGTGTCAATTGGGTAACGGAAGTTCATTAGTTTGACGATGTATTCGTATTAATTACAATGATATATTCATATTTATTACAACATAAATACAGTTTTGAATTCAAAATCTCTTAAAACAATAAGATAATTACCAACTACCAGTTAAGAAATGATTACTTTTATTTATAAATTTTAAATGTCTTCTTTGTTTTATTATATATATATATATATATATATCTCTCTCTCTTAAAATTATAAAAAATTATTTTTAAATTAAATACTCGGTACTGTTTAAAAGATTCTTGGAAATTAAACAAAACTTTGGTTTTTTTAAAAAAATATAATTAAAATGTAGGCTGTGAGAACACGTGTACAGGATGACTCTACATGAATAATTGAAAATTAAATATAATTTATTATTATATTAAACTAAAACTTATTAAATTTTCATAATTAAATTTAAATAATCATTAAGCAATTATTAAATATTAAAAAATTGAGCTTCAAATATTGGGAACTGAAGAACTCCACCATCACAAAGCGACAAAAGCGACAAAAGCGGCCTCTCACCAGGCCCATTTTGTTTGATTCAGAACCTCAGGTATCTTGCCTGGACCCACAGACACACACACACACACACGCACATATATATATATATATATATCCATCAATAGTTCTCCACTAACAAATTTATTAATAGAACTTATAGGATTTCTGTGAATAATAGTTATCTTATGTTGTATATATAGTTTATGTTTATATTTAAAATGATGCAGATATGGTCCAACTGGGATATACAAAACATTCATGTTTGGATCTCCAAGTGTAATAGTGACTAAACCAGAAACAATGAAAAGAGTTATGACAGATGATGATGCATTTATGCCCGGTTGGCCGAAATCCACTGTGGAGCTTATGGGGAAGAAATCTTTCGTTTCAATTTCTTACGAAGAACACAAGCGTCTTAGAAAGTTAACCGCAGCTCCGATTAATGGTTATGATGCTTTGTGTGTTTACTTGAAGTACATAGAAGAAATTGTGGTGATCGAGTTGGAAAAATGGTCCAAGATGGGAAAAATTGAGTTCTTGACTCGACTTCGAAAGCTCACTTTCAAAATCATAATGCACATTTTCCTTGGTGAAGAGAGTGAGCCCGTTATGGAAGCGTTGGAGAACGAATACACTGCGCTTAATTATGGAGTTCGAGCAATGACAATCAACATCCCTGGATTTGCTTACCACAAAGCTCTTACGTTTGGCGTCGTTATTATCTTTAATCTATATGATTCAGAATTC